TGCCATTGTTTTTCCACAGTGATGTGGTGGGACTGAATTGTTAACAGGAAGTCAAGGCCACAGGAAACAAGATTGAAACCAGCTGGGGGAGGTTAAAGTGAGAACCAAATGCCCCAGGTGAACCTGGATGGAGCCTGCCACAGAGAAAGGACATCAGTGGAGCAGCCAGAAGTCCCCCAAGACCTGCAAAGCAGTTTGTGGCACTGTGCTGATGTTATTATCTTGGTTTCAATACTTACACTATGGTTATGAGAGATGTTAGTATCAGAGGAAGCCACTTGCACATTTTTCTGTAAAATGAATTCAAAGTAAACAGGAACTCTGTGAGAAGGGAGGGGCTTGTTCACCCTTGTTTATTTGGGGTTGGTGAGTGGAAGGATTGATTGCAGGGAGCCTGTTACTCAGTGTGTGCCTCTGTAATCCTTCCTCATTAGAAATCAATTATATACCAAGTCAATTATCAATTAAGTGACAAGGTGGGTAAACATCGCAGGCATTAATTGACCCTTCAAGGGTTCTTTGAAGCTCACTCAGCTTCTACGGCTTCTTTGAAGTCTTGTTTTGACTTCACTGAGGCACTGATTAGACTGATTTAATAGTGAAATTGTGCAGGGTTAATGTGAACGAAATAAGTGCAGCTACGAAGCCTTTCTTGTCCCATCCAGTGTGATCTTGCCTAGTCCAGTTATGCAAAGCAGTAGGTTCATGCAGGTCAGTGAAAAACAGACCCTAAACCTGAAACCATCACAAAGTACACAAAGTAAGATTCTGTAATGAGGTTATAATGTGCAGGTCTAACCTAGATCAGCCAAGAAGCCTTCTTGCTTTGCTTGTCCCCAAGGGTTCCAGGCAGAGAGACTGTCCCATTTGTACTGCTCCCATTGGATTCCCCCCCACTAGACTTCCCTCCAAGCATTATGCTAATGTAATGGAAGTCGAACCTTGGCCAGGGTGGCTACAGACATGGGCTCAGATGTGAATTCTGCCAATGGGAAAGCAGAGTGGCCAGACTTCTGGGGTGTGTGGAGGGAGGTGAAGAGGTGGGTGTGCCCGACTCTACATGGTCGTAAATGGCAGGCTACGGCTTCCAGCTTCCATCCTGATGGTTCAGTTCCCAGCTACTGAAATCTGGGAATTCATGTGTGTAAGTGTGATTTATGACACGATGCATATCATATCTTCCTCCTTGCCCTCACTTTTAAAGTCTATGCACATTCGCAGTCAGACTATTTTTGGCACAGAAGCACTGGTTTTTAAAGAGAGTAAATGTCTCCTCAGTTGTTTCCTGTAAGCCTAATCTTTGTAACCATCAAATCTCAATGCAGAAACTAGAGTTGGTTAACTCCAAGATAAAACTAATTTCTTTTCTTCTTGATATTTCTAAGAGTTATTAGTGACAGGCTGTGCCATCAAATCGGTGCAGAAAAAAAGAGAAAAGAATGCTTGGCTCACTTCGTGACCACACGTTGCTTTCTAATTGCAAGAAACAAAATCACAGCTACCAGACCATGTTGCAAAGTGAACCAGAAATGGCAGCTCTCTGTTAAAGTAGGGTACTGACAAGAAGCCAATCTGCGTAAAATTAGAATCTCACTAGGAAAAGAAAACCTCATCTCATCTGATATGCACAGAGTCGATTAGATTTAAATCGCTAACCCACCCCGTTTTAATATACAGATAATTTTGGCACATGACATCATTCACTGCATTTAGACTGCCTCTGCTGTCGCCATGGCAACCCTGACATAAAACATAGCTGAGTTGGTAATTTCACTCGAAATTAAATGAAAATAAAGCTAATCCTATTATTGTTCTTAACAATTTTCCAAGTAGCTTCTTCTCAGTGCCCTTGCTTGTATATCCTGTCTTTTAAAAATAGATTATTGGACAATTATGCATGTGTGTGCACTCACTCACTCACAGCCATTAGCACCACCTGCCTGTCTCTGTGGCCTGACCTTGGGTGGGAGAAAGGCTCTCGTCCACCCACAGTGCCGCTTCCTATTTTTCTCACAATTCTGGGATAGGAAAATCTTTTAAATATACCAATTTGGGCCATTAAACATTCCAGAGATTGTCACTAAAATTACAGTAAAATAATAGTCTTAAAGAGAAGCCATATTGTGCATTTGTATAAATCTTAAAAGCGTGCTTCAATTGATTCTGCTTTATATTTTAATGTGTCCACGTCAGTTTCAATAGTTACTTAGGAAAACAGTCTTTTCCTTTTCAGCTTCCACTGAAGAGTGACTGAACAATGAGAGCCCCATTTAGAAGTAGTCCTACAACCCTATCAAAACATTTCTATTCCAAATCATGATAAACACTCAATGTCACACACACAAAACCAAAGCAGTCTCTCTGTCTCCCCTCACTGCCTGCGGACTCAGGCAATACTCAACTGCTCTGGGACCAGCCCAAAGTTATCGCCTCTGGGCTTCAGACAGGTACGAAAGCTCACACCTGCACTTCATTTCGGGGGGTGCTTCTGGGGAGAGAAGGTGTGGAGGATCAGCGGTGCTGAGCTGGAGTCTCTGGTCTGCCACGCTGTCAGCTTTGCTGTCCTCTGTCTTTGGGTGTCTCAGTGTCTTCACTCACAACAGATAAAGTAGTCAGAGGGGATAATAATGAACGTGACCCCACAGGGTTTCTGAATCAAACAAGACAGGGAAATCACCACGGGAGTGCAACCACGAGGGTCAGTCTGACTCCGGGTCCCTCCAGTAATGGCCACTCAAAGAGAGCAAGTCGGATCAGCCAACACGCAGGGTGCAGCCTCCCCCTGGGAACACGCCACCGACCAAGACCTGGAGACACACCGCCAGTCTGAATCCAGGCACCGAGAAGAGAGGTGCAGTTTCCACTGGTATTGCCAACACCCCCTCAGGGGAGGATTAGCCACCTCCGCCTTCGGCCTCTGAACACTGCAATCCCAGGACATCTCGAACGGAACATGCTTTTCAGGACACCCAGCACCCCTCCCCTCTTTTGAGTCTACCATTGTCAGGTCACCGGGAGATATGGGCAGGTGCAACTGAGACAGAGTTGAAGTAGAAAGGAAGGGAAAGCAGCCAAGGACTCAACAGGGCAAGAAAAGGAAAGAGTCAAAGGAAGAAAACTGACATGACTGACTAGTTAACGTCTTTAAAGCCTTTCCGGGCTCTGCAGTGGGTCTGCTTCCTTGCCTGGGAGTCATTCCAGCCCTTTCGCACGTTTCATTTTCAGTGCATCTTGGTCTAGCACACCCTCTATTTTTTTCGGACTTTGCTATTGACATATGCACTCTAATGTTCCCCTCTTTACATAACTCAGTTTGTTTGGCAAAAGCCATCACTGACTGCAGACTGTCTTCCACCTCCCTCCCAAGCTGACATCTTATGGGTAGTTCAGTCATCAGTCAGTGCCCTATACCTCTTCTATGAGGTCCTCCACATCCAGTCATATAATTTGTGAGAATAAGTCACCATACATTTTCTATTCTAGTAATTTTTCAAAAGCAAAAATAATGTGCTTTAAAAGACAAAGGATATGGGATAACCCCATTCTCCCATAATGATTGGAGGAGAACAGACACTGAGAAGATGTTCAGTCAATGAATCAAATAGAGGAGACAGTTTTAGTACAGTCTTCCTTTCTACAAGTGGACTTGACGATGGGGACAGGCATTGTGGGTGGCAGAACCTGGGGTTGCCTCGGCCATCGCTATCAGTTCAGGATATAGTCCCATTAACACTGACTTATGGCAACAATTCCGATAAGTGGTTTGGTGTTCAAGTCGTGTACAATAAAACAAGCAGAGGGGTATACTTGCTGATCTAAAACTGCCATTCAAGGTGCATGAAATTTAAAGATCAAAGATACAACATTTCTTTTTCTTTTTTTTTTTCTTCTCAGTTCCTCAGAATCACATTTAACACATGCACAATCAAACTAAAAAAAAAAAAAGAAAGAAAGGATTTATTCTTGAATAGGAATCCTCAGCTTTGGGGCTGGAATTTAAGCAAATAAAATGAAGCTCAAATTTGATAACTGGTTTAAATGGGTGGCTATAGTTACACTGTGTACCACATTTGGGATTTTATCCTTTAACCTTTGCACTGAAATTCACACCTCAATCTACAAGCTCATTCACAATCACTCCTTCTATGTTCTCTTCTACCTATACAGCCATTGCCGAAGCTTCGTTTATGTCCCTTCTAGGTTTGAATATATAAGTTTGATCATCATGCAGGATCATGAACAAACAGCCGAAGAAGCTTTACAGTTCTAAGAAGTTAAATAACTAAGGCCAAAAGCAGTTCAACCCACAACAAATGACTAAGAGATAACATTTAAACCTCTCAACAACTACTCTTTCAATTATTTGATTTATGCACTAACATATACAGCCAAAGTTACTCTGAATCTCACACCAGCAAAACCAAATAGACTGTAATTGACTGGACCCTGTTTTGTTTTTTTTTTTTTTTTCTCTCTCTCTCCACTAGCATATATGCTAGAGAACTGTCCATCCATTGGTCAATTACACATGTATCCTGGGTTGACACCTTGGGGCAATGGGCCTATCTGCAGGTGTAGCTCAGCAGGGGGCACCGTTACAGAGGAAGGGAAATAGACCAGAATAATCACATGTGCCCAGCACAGCCTGCCAAGCTTAGTCTCTGCAATATAAACCACTGATTTCCATTGGACTGACTCCAGACTAAATCCAAAACTACCTTGGATCACTTAGTGACTGTCTTCTGTGTTGCTTTGAAGGGGCCCAAGATAAGGGCACAAAATAGAAAAATTGTCCAGCTCCAAATACCAGTATGAGAACATCTCAGACACTTTGAAATTAGTCACAATGCAGGTGATTTCCTAGTAGCTGAAACAACAAGCGGAAAATGAACATTCATGTTTGACCAAAGAACGCCCGTCACCGTCATTCATGAATGCCACTCGGGGAGCTGGGATAGAGGCAACCACACGGAGTGATGGGACCTCTTCCCAGGACTCACCATATGGACGGTGCTTCCGTCCCACTGATCTCCAAGAAGTCGTAGCCTTCCTCCAGCTGGAAATCAGTGAAGACCAAAGCGATGGTGTCCCCCGGCTCCGCAAGAATGGTCCACGTACAGTCAGCGTTGTTTTCGTACTCCGAAGGGAAGTGAGGGCTGGAAATGGAGCTGCCTGTTCCCCGCAAGGTTCCTCCACAGGCCCCTTCAGCTGTGAGGACAGAAGCAAAGAGCAAGCTCTGTTCAGGATGGCTTCACACAAGCGCACATCCACCTGGTCACTTGTAGCCAGGGCGAGTTTCTGAATCCAACATGGGGACACTGAATCTGAAAGAGAATCTATTCTGATTTGCTAATTTAATTCTACAGAAAGGTTTACAAAATCTAAGAATCCAGCTCCATGGTTAACTGGATGGTATTGTAAGAAATAACGGCTTTCTGGCTCTTTTTGGAGCAGGATGGGGGGTGAATAAGTTTGACAAAATCAAAAGTGAACCAAACGGAATCTCATTGTTCCTGAAACTTAAATCAAACAGTCCCCTCCAGGGAGATGAGTAGACAAGACCACTGAGACTGATACACTAAACACTGATAAAAGAGCTGTGCAGAGTCACATTCGTGAGTACTTGTAATAGTAATGTAGTTTTCATGTATCACTACCTAATAGATATATACATGATTGTAATCATAAAATACAATTTAATAGAATTTATAATTTTCTGATTTTATTGTGTCGCACAAGTTAATTCAGCTCAGTATAAGATGCAAAAGGAGTTACAGAACTTTTTATTATATAAAAAGATAAAATGTCATGATGAACAGATTTAAAAGCTATCAAAATTCAATGCTATAGTTGGATGATTAATGAAACGTACTAATTTAAATCCAAACGTTGAGACTATATAAACACTTTCATCTCATCTCATTGATCATTTATTTATTTGTAAACTTAACACCCACCGAGCCTGCTGAGGAAGTTACATCACCCCAACACATCACTGAGTGCCAAGGCTGTGTGGAGAACAGATGGGAACATTCATCCTCACAGTGCAGAGGGCTGTAGGACACACATCTGGAACATGATGGAGCAAAACTCACAAGTGCCAGGGTTAAGAGTGGAGGGACAGGAGAGGGAGGAGGAAGAAGGGTGGGAGCGTGGGCAGGAGGGAGGCTACGGTGGGAACTATCACTATGTTCCTAAATCTGTGTATACGAAAGACATGGAAGTTGGATATCTTAAATAACATTTTTAGAAATGGCAATAAAGCTAAAAAAAGATAGCAGAAAAGGAATAACTAAACACAGTGTGTTGGAATAACTGAATAGAAATGAGGAAAACCTGTAATTTAGACAAAGCCTCAAACAAAACATTTTACACAAATTAAAAAGGCTGAAAGTATAAAATCATGAGTATGCTACTGCAGCAAGGTGATTTACTTGTATAATATCTCAAATATTATTTCAATTAATTAGAAGTAAGTGATATTAATAAAATTAACTTACAGGTATTTACTTCTGTCATTTTTTAAAAAAAATACAAAAAAAACTAAAATTTGAGTCAAAAGATACTATACAAAACACTTGTAACATAGCAAGTGGTATTACCTATATTTATTTGCTTTTTCAAATGCATTCATTTGAGAGGGAGAGAGAGAGTTGCCATCTGCTAGTTCACTCCTGAAATTCTCACAAAGTCCAGGGCTAGGCCAGAAATGAAGCCAACAGGCTGGAACTCAATTCAAGTCTTTCATATAGATGTCAGGGACTTAATTACTTGAATAATTATCTGCTGACTCCCAGAGTTTGCACTAGCTGAAGACTGGAATGAGAAGCCAGAGTTGAGCTTGGAACCCAAACACTCTGATCTGGGATGCAGGCTCACTAACTGGCATGTTAAACTAGCTCAAATGCCTGTCCCAGACTTCTATTTTTAAGAAAAGACACAACAAGATGTGAACTGAGAATTTAAATAAGAATGAATTCCACAATTAATTAAAACTAAACACGAAGGCTCAATCATCTCTTATTTTCAGACATTCAAAATATAACAATGATAATATTCTATCTAATATCCATTAAAAAGCAAAAGTTTGAAATACAAAGGAAAAAAAAAAACATGAGAAGACTGGTAAATTTATATCCCTAATATGAGTGTATCTTAGTATGAAACCTCAGGAATGTTAGCAATACACATGAGGTCTAATAAAAAGTCATATCAGTTGGCAAGTAGCCCAGGTTTGGAGCTAATATTTGTTGAGTACATTTTGGGTGCTGGATCCAGTAAAAAGTCCCGTAATTTGGACTAGCATTTCAAAAATTTATGTCAACTTCTTTATTATTTTCCACAATTCACTGTTGTCAATATGATTGCTTAGAAAAATTCTAATTGCTTATTTAAAAAAAATCAATTTACTAGTAAAAGTTCAGAAAGTCATGAGGCAGCAACATGATCAAAAAATTAGTAGTAAAATTAAGCAACATAAACACTTCAATACAAAAATTGGAGGAAAGAGGAATGGTGTCTTTTTTTATGAAAAATATAACACCTCGAACTTCAGTAAGGTATAAATCTGTGTATATATACATATATTCACATATAAATATTATGTGCATATAATAATCTTACGAATTAATACTATAAGGCATCTACAAAATTGAAAGTAATTATGATAAAGGTAATATAGTACGGCATAATTGTCAATGAACAGTGGGTCATCGAAGAAATTGAAATGGAAATCAAAAAAATCTGGAAATGTATAAAGATAACAACACATCAAAACTTATGAAAAGCAGGGTGAGGAGGGAAGTTTAGAAAATTAGTGCCTACATCAAGAAATTGGAAAGGTATCATATAAATGATCTAATAATGCATCTCAAGAACCTCAAAAAACAACAAACCAAACCCAAAATTAGTAGGAGGAAAGAAACAATAAAATCAGAATAAACAAAAATAAGACAAAAAAACTAATGCAAACTATCAGTGAAATGAAGAGCTGATATCTCAAAAAATTAATTCATATACCATTGTCCAAACTAACCATAAAAAGGGGGTGGGGTTTTGGGGGAAGATCAAAATTAATAAAATCAAAGATGAAAAAGCAAATGTTGTAATGGATACCAAAGAAATAAAAAGAATCATCAGGAATTGCTACATGTCAACAAATTGGAAAATCTAGAAGGATAGATTCCTAGACACATACTATCTACCAAAGTCAAGTTATAAAAACATAGAAAACCTAAACAGACCAATAACCAAGCTAGAAATTGAATCAATAAAAAGACCCTCCCAACAAAGAAAATCCCAGGACCAAATGGCTTCACTGTTGAATTCTACCAAACTTTTAAGAAAGAACTAATTCAAATTCTTCTCAAACTACTCAAAATAGTTGAAAGGGAGAGGATTCCCCCCCACCCTTCTGTGAGGCCAGCATCACCTTAGTTCCAATACCAGAAAAAGATAAAACAAAGAAAGAACACTATGGACCTATAACCCTGATGAACATAGATCCAAAAATCCTCAACAGAATACCAGCTAATTGAATCCAACAACACATCAGAAAGATCATTAACCCAGACAAAGTGGGAATTAGCCCTAGGATGCAGGAATGGTTAAACATACGCAAATCAATAAATGTGATGCATCACATTACTAACTGAACAAAAACCATATGATTATCTCAATAGGTGCAGAGAAAACATTTGATAAAATACAGTATCCTTTCATGATAAAAACCTTATGCAAACTGGATATACAAGGAACATTATCGACATAATAAGGGAAATATATGACAAAAACACAGCTAGCATCATAGTGAAGGGGGCAAAGTTGAAAGCTTTCCACTAAGATCCAGAAGCAGGCAAGGGTGCCCACCTTTGTCACTGATATTTAATATACATCTAGATGTTTTAGCAGTCTTTAGGCAAGAAAAATAAATCAAACGATACAAATTGGAAAGAAAGAATTCAAATAATCCCTGTTTGCAGCTAATATGACCCATACATAGGGAAACTGAAAGACTTCAAGAAGAGACTACTAGGGCTCGTAAGAGAGTTTAGAGAAGTTGCAGGATATAAAATAAACACTATAAATCAATAGCCTTTGTATATACTAAAAATGCCATTTTTAGTGTAGAGAATGCAATTTTTAGTAGAGAGTGAAATTTCATCTTTCATTTTATTAATTTGGGTCATTCCCATTCATAATAGCTACAAAAAATTAAAAACCTCAGAATAAATTTAATCAAGGAGGTAAAACCTCTACAATGAAAATTATGAAACATTAAAGAAAGTAATAGACGAAGAGACTGTAAAATGAAAAAAAAAATCTTCCATGTTTGTGGATTGGAAGAATTAATATCAAAATGTACATACTATCCAAGGCAATTTATAGATCCAATGCAATCCCAATCAAAGTAACAATGGCATTCTTCTCAGATATAGAAAAAAAACTATGCTAAAAGTCATATGGAAACAAAGGAGATTCCAAACAGCTAAACAATCTTAAATAACAAAAATGAAACTGGAGGCATCACAATACCAGATTTCAACATACATTATTGGACAGTTATAAGTAAAACAGCTTGGTACTGGCACAAACATAGACATGTAGACCAATGGAAAAATATAGAACAACCAGAAATTAATCCACATATCAACAATCATCTATTATTTGAAAATTAGATAGAATCAATCTTTGAGAAAGGATAGATTTTTCAACAAATGATTTTGGGAAAATTGGATTTACATGTGCAGAAGTATGAAACAAGACACCTATCTTATACCTTATAAAAAAAAAAAAAACTCAAAGTGGATCAAGTGCCCAAATATAAGATCTGATACCATCAAATTACTAGAGGAAACCTTGGAGGAAACTGCAAGACATTGGCATAGGAAATGTCCCTAGAGGGACAGGCAATAAAAGCAAAAATAGATAACTGGCTGTGCATGAAGCTAAAAAGCTTCTGTACTGCAAAGAAAACACTCAACAAATTGAAGAGGAAACCATAGAATGGGAGAAATTATTTGTAAACCATGCAACTGATAAAGAAATAATATCTAGAACTTATAAAGAGCTCAAGAAACTAAACAAATACGAAAAACCCCACAATACAATTAAGAAAAGGGCAAAATCCACGAACAGGCATTTTCCTAAGGATGAATTGAAATGGCCAATAGGCATATGAAAAAAAAAATGTTCAGGATCACTTGTAA